TGTGCAGCTCTGCAACTGCATCCTGGCCCATCCTCACCCTTCTGCCCCCAACCCTCACCTCCTTGTACCCCCAATATGTTTTTCCCAATAAAAAAAATACTAAAAAAAGAAACTGCCAAACTGTTTTCCACAATGCTTGCATCAATTTATGTTCCTGCCAACAGTGTGTTAGTAAATAGTCTAGTCTTCTCTATATCCCTGCCAACATTTGATGTTATCTCTATTTTTTTTAAATCTTTCTTTATAGACTGTGTGTTTAGAACAATTTTAAACTTCTAGAACAATTGAGAAGATAGAATAGAGTTCCCATGTTCCCATGTGCCTCCTTTGAAACATGTGTGTGCATGCACACAAACATGCATACATACACACACATGTACTAGCATGCTGCATTTGTGTAGTACATTTGTTACTTAATAATTAATGAATTAATAGCAACTGAAGACCATGCAGAGGAACTCTAGTGGCTTAGTGGTAAGGAATTACACCATCCCTCCAAAGGCACGGGCAAGGGGAAAAGACAGATAGTCTCTGCAAACCTGCCGGAGGGTCGGTTGTGAGTCATTTCCAACTCGATAGCATACACAGCAACATGCTGTACATTAAAGGGCTCACTCTGCATTTGTACGTGTCTGGGTTTTGGTACATTCATGATGAGTCTACCATTATTGTATCACATAGAATTGTTTCATTCCCCTAAAATATTGCCTGTGCTTCACTTATTTATTCACCTTTCAGACTTTTCTTTTTATTGTCCTTACAGATTTGCCTTTTCCAGAATTTCATATAGTATGTAGTGCTTTTCTAGAATAGAGCAGTTATTGTCTCAGGGTTGGTTTTGTGGTTTTGTTTCGTCTTGCTAAGCTGCCCCTTTCTTGGTCCTTTGACAAAAGAGGGCCACCTTTCCTTGGGAATTTTTTTTAGTTGGTAGTGCTTAGTTGCACTACTTTTTCTCTTCCACGTCTTGTTAGCAAGTCTGAGAATTTTATTCTGGTAAACCAAGTCTTTCCTGATATTTAGAAAAAAAAGAAGAACCAAGGTAAATGCAGAATAAGTAGAAAGTGATAGTAAATCCTGCTTTATCCCTTCAGTAAAGACAGAGGCAGAGAGGAGGAAGCTGAGAGAAGCCGAGACCCAAAAGCAAAACTGCCACTGTTGAGTTGCTTCTGATCCACAGCGACCCTGCAGGACAGTGGAGCTGCCTCATAGGATTTTCAAGGCTGTAATCATGTTTATGAGCACAAACTGCTACATCAGCGAGTGTTTATTCATGACCACCAAGTGCCAGGCTCCATGCTGATGCTGGGATAAGTATATGATGAACAGAGTGAGCGACACACTGTGAGGGTCACAGGTGGAAAACTAGCAGATAACCTTACAGCAGGTCAGGTGGTGATTAAGTAGTGTGAGGAATAATTAGGGTAAGGGATCTAGAGAAGGATGTAAGTGGTTGTTTTATGTAAGGAGGTCAGGATAAGCCCCCAGTCAAGTGACATTTGAGCAGAGGCTTAAAGAAATTTCAGCACATACCAAAGATTCTAGTGTAAAAAAAAAATACATTAATGTTCCCATAATAGCTGACATTTCTTTGTGCTTTATTCTTTTCAAGGAAAGGCAGAATTCCAAGTGAAACATCTATATTTCTGTTTGTTTATTTTTATATTTACCATACTGAGCTTTATAGTGCTTTGTGTGTTGAACTGCTAGCTGAATGGTTAATAGTTCAAATCCATCAGCCACACATGGAGAGAAAGATGAACAGTCTGTGCCAGTAAGGTTTCACAGCCTCAGAAACCTGTTGGAAGGTTGTCATGAATCAGAATTAACCTGGAGTGGTTTGAGGTTTTAAATCCCTTTAGAAACTATTTTAAACATAAAATTGCAGCAAGAATTTTTTTAATTGCTTCATTATATTGAAGAACAAAACGTGTGTGGCTCCTTAGCATACTTTGCTTCTCTGTCATTGTGTTTATAAGTCAATACGAGGTCTTAGGAACCCCTGTTCTGTTGATTTATGAACCCAAGAATGATTTATGGCCCTGGGGCTAGAGGAAAATGAGTTTCTAGGTTCACATGAAGAATGCTTGGTAGGATTTCTTCATTTCTATGAGTGCTTCCCTCAAAAATGCTTTTTAAGTATGGGTCAGCCTCCTCTTGGCTCATTACTAGTTGGGTGGTAGTAAGTGAGGTATTTGAATATTTGCCTGTGTACCTGGACAGAATGTTTTCAGTGGTGTGAACAGATGGAAATGCCTTTAGTAATGATTATTCTCTGCACAACTGTCATGAACATAGATTTTCTGGTTGGGAAGTTAGTTCGGCTTTCATGTACCCTTAAATATTTTGCCAGATTTGTTTATACAGAGACACACACACCCCCCATTTATTTTACAGAAAATACCAATAAATTGAATAGGCCAACAAAAGAAACATGAAGCATTTTAGTCACCCAACTGGTAGTCTGTCTTGATGGTAGCACAATGGGAAGGGCCCTTTCAAAGCTGCTTCTTGCTGAGATTGCACCATATATCTAAGTCAGAGCATGTCATATCACAATGAATAACACCAGTGTAAGTGGGCCTCTGATTTTGGACTTGTTTTTCTGTGGCCTCTCTCCTTTGAGCCACGTCTTTCCATAATTTGATCAATTGTGATTGATTTGGGTCTGCGTGTCTAGGTGATGATATTTGAACTGGCATACCACGTGCAGTCCTTCCTCAGCGAGCATAACAAGCCCCCTCCCAAGTCTTTCCATGAAGAAATGCTGGAACGGCAGGCTCAGGAGGAGCAGCAGAGGCTGTTGGAGGCCAAGCAGAGAGAGGAGCAGGAGGTGAGACATGGCTGTGAGCTCGGTCAAGCTGCCTTGCGGGGGAACCATAGGCTTTGATAGGTTCCTAGTCTCTTTCTGCCCAGTCCCAGACATGTCATAATCTAGAAAGTTTTACTCAGCATTTAATTTAATAAGAAATGTGGGTTAGCATGAGAGGAAGAGGTCTTGGGAGTAAATGAGAAATAATTATGAGTGGTTTCTTTCCAACAGCCATTAATGTGCCCTTTAAAACAACCTTAATCCAAGTCCTTTGCTCCCTGCGGTCTTCCTGAGCTCGTAAAGCTGTACATAAAATTCACTGCCTTGAAGCTGTTTTCTTCCTCCTTGGTGAAGCAAATATCTCCTGCCCAGAAAAGTAACAAATACCAGACAACAGACTTTGTGAGTCCTAGTCAATCTGTACTGCCTAACTCCTTCTCAGGAACAGGGTGGCCTAGTGCTAAGGATTTACATGGCCAACCAACTGCAGGCAGTTTGAATCCACCAGTTGCTCCAAGGGAAAAAATGGTCAGTCTCCTCACATTCTTTACAGCTCTGAAAACTTACTGAAGGGCCAACTGTAAGCTGGTTCCAGCTTGATAACAATAACAACTTCTCCCAGTCATCTGTGTAAAACAGTTATTCTTTAAGGTTTAAGGCTCTACGTATAGAAAGATGTTGTTTATTAGAAGATAGTGGTTAGTTAAAAATCATGTTCTGGTATACTGCTATAACTATTCATACATTTTTGGGGTATATATTTTATCTTTTGTATTATTATGAGTTTTTGGTGAATCTCTTCCTGAGTTTGATAATTTCAATCTGGAATTTAAAATGGCTATAGAATGTACTCTGCTTTTCTCTACCTAAATTCAGAGCCACTGAGCAATTGATGCTTAAGTCAAATGAATGGCTATCAAATGCTAGTTTTAATACTGAGAAGTCTGATTGGAGAATGTATCTGAAGGACTCCAACTTGGGCCTGGTGCCTGTGATATACATGCACAATCAAGCCCTCCTCCATCGAATCAGCTTCTGACCTCATGAAGAGAGTAGAGGAGTAAACACAAGGATCTGTTCTCTACAGACAGACAGGCATCTTGGGGGGACTAGAGGTGTGGGGGGAAATGCAAGACTGACAGTGTGACTGGAGTGAAAATCCAGCGTGGAAACATGAAGGCTGAGGAATGAATCCCTCTCCACACAGTCCTCTTATGCATTCAAGTGAAAATGCCAGTTGCATAAACATTCAGATGAAATATATCTCAGTCACATAAGGACAAATGCTCCATAAAGACCACTGTTTTGAAAATAGGAGGATAACTGAGCAAGATATGTACAAATGTTCAAAAGAGAAAGGGAAAGAGGTGGCAGAAAAAAGAGAATGGAATAAAAATCACTAGGAAAGCAGAGGTTAGTGGACGAGGGGGAAGGTGTAAAGGAGCAGTAGAGTCAGTGAAGACCTAAAAAGATGAAGTGGTAATAGGCATAGATTAATAATAATTAAGTACATAAAATACAATGAATAAAACACAAAGTATAGGATGGAAGCAAACCAATTTTTAAAAACCTAAAATGAAATATATATCTAACTTATTTGTACAAGGCTATAAATATTCAGGTATCTTTTAAAAAGAAGAAATCCACAAGTTCTACTTTGATTCCAGAATTTGTTTCATGGCTTTCAGTTAAAAGGCGCCCCAGTGGCACAGTGGTTAAGCACTCAACTCCTAAACAAAAGGTCAGCAGTTGGGACTCTCTAGCCAGCTGCTCCACTATAGGGGCAGAAGGTGTAGCAGTCTGCTTCCAGAAAGGGTAAGGCTTGGAAACTCTGAGGCAGTTCTGCTCTGCACCGTACTGTCACTATGAGTTGAAATAGAAGCATTGGCAATAGTTACAAGTCTGGATTTCAAAGATTGGCGTATAATGGTGGTTTGATTTATTTCAGCAACGTGAAATCCTTTATGAAATTCAGAGAAGGAAAGAAGAGATCAAAGAAGAAAAAAAAAGAAAAGAGATGGCCAAGCAGGTACTCTTAACTATTTATTTTAATAAATGTAAAATGGTTTTATTTTCATTTTCATTTTGGCTCTTTTAATAATAAGCTTCAAATGAAGCACTAAAATACAAAATATTATTTTTTTGGTCGTGTTTTTAGCGCTATCAAGTCAATTCAGACTCATCATAATCCTTTAAGTAGCAAAATTTAGAGCAGTGTTCAGTTTTATGTGGCTACAGTAGGTTAGCAAATAAGTGAGTCATACAAAAAGACAGACTAGTGAGAGAAGGGAGGCTTTGAGAATGTTAATAATTTGTTCGTAGTAAAGGGAGGATGGGAACAATACCTGTAATTTCATTCACTAATAAAGAGTGATCCAACAGAACGGTTTAAAAGGCACTAGTGGGAAAGGACAAAGCTTTTTCCTTACCTTTCCTGAGTCCAGCTCAGTACAAACAAACAAAAAAAGCCTAACACAACCCCAGGTATTTGGAATTCAGGGAAATTTTTACTGATTTTTTTTTAAATTTTATGTAATTATGGAATTTAACTTAAAGGAAATAGAAAGTGTAGCAGAAGGAGGCACTTCTAGAGCAGAACTGGCTGAGCTCTGGCTTTTTCACTGCCTTGCCTCTGTGACCCAATTTCCCCATATCTTAAAATGGGATTGGTAATGCTTTCCTTTCTGACTTCTATTATTATTCCTATGGATAAATGGACTGCCATATGTGAAAGTACAGAGTTGGGTGTAACTGTGAGATCATGTTATTGTTTGTGCCACCTCTCTTGTCTTCTTTCTGATTTGCCTTCCCTCGGCCACTTCTTATGCTGCTGCTTATTTCTCTTGCTTTTCTCCCTACCTTTTTACTCAGATTCTCAGATTCTTAACATTCTCACTAATAATAATCACATTCTCTTGAAATTGTAATCAGCTTATTCTTGAACCAGTACATATGTCACCATTCCATTTTAAATATTGCATTAAGTTAAGCTTAAATAAAATTTGCAGTGTATACTGAATTTGTAATCATGGCAAACACATACCATGAATGTCTTTCATTCATTACAACTAAGGTGGGTTTCACCTTTTATTTTGGTAGGGGCGTTTGGAAATTGCAAATCTTTCAAGCCAAGAGTCTCCTGACTTTGTAGGAAATAGTAAACACCGAGCCAACTCCTCAGGGAGAGCTAGGTAAGTTCCTGGGATTTCTGGTCTTCGAAGATGAAGTAGGTAGGATTAAAGCAACTTGTAGTGAAATCTTGAATATATATTTTACTATATTAGTTCGTAAAAAAACCCCAAACCCACTGCCAGTCACTTGACTTTGACTCCTCACAATCCCAGACCACAGAGCGGTTCTGCTCCACAGGGTTTGCAAGGCCGCAAATCTTACAGGAGCAGATTGCTTCACCTTTCTCTCACTGAGAAAATCTAGTGGATTCAAACCTCCAGCCTTTCATGTAGCAGCCCAGTAATTAGCCCTCTGGCCAGGTCATGAGTTCAAGTTAGAGAAGGTTTTGGAGTTTTCAGGCAGAAATCTGATACCATCTGAGACACATAGTTGATCATGGCTGCCAGTGAAGAATGTATGGCATGGGATGGACAAAAGTAGATCGTGGCTTTCACTTCTCGTTTTAGAATGCTCTCTCTGACTCGCTCATCCAGCTGTGTTGAATTACATTGCAAACTCCTACGAAGTTTCCATAATTCTAAAAAAATCACTGAAGGTGAAACCATAATGTCATTTCTTCTAAGTACTATTTGGATTACTGTTTCTGCTGGAGTTCAGAACTGTTTTAGTTTTGAACAGGTTAGGTATGAAAGATTGTTATAAACTAACTCAGTTGTTAAAGAGTCCAGAATGGACAGTGTGAGTAACTTAATATATACACATCTATGTGAGACTCATTTTTACTTGAAAGTAGTAAAGATAAGTAGTTACCTCGATATTCCTTCTTTTCAAAATTATTCCTGTTGTGATGTGCTACCTACCACATTTGTCATTTTATTACCTATTTTATTTAGAGAAGTAGCCCTGTTCCTTCAGTCCTAATTATATATAATTTCTAACAATGGTGTTAACACTCTAACTTATCAGACATGATAAGGTTAATAGTATCCCTAAATACCTTCAGTCAAGCATTATCATACTATAAACACCACCACCAGTGCCTTCCCTTTGTCCCCCCAAAAGACGTCTCAGATGAAAATAATTATTAACATAACCGCTATTGGAAGAAGCAGACCTGATGTGGAAGTGCTTCTGAATAATTCATGTTAAAGCATCTAGCATATCATTTTAGACCATGTTGTTGTTAGGTTCTGTAACATCGACTAAGATTCATAGCAACCCTGTGAACAACAGATCTGAACCCTGCCTTGTCCTGTGCAATCCTCACAATCTCCAGTGTACTCAGGCCCATTGTTACAGTCACTGTGTCAGTCCATCTTGTTGAGGGTCTTCTTCTCTTTCTCTGACCCTCCACCTTTCCCAGCATGGTGTCTTTTTTTCTGAAAATTGGCCCATAGTTTAGCTGACATTTTTTAGACCATGTTGTAGTGGTTAGGTGCCATCAAATCAAGTATGACTCATAGCAACCCTATGAATAACAGCCTTGAACCCTGTCCTGTCCTGTCCCATCCTGTCTGACATGATGGAGCTCATCGTTTCTGACATACTTGGGCCTTTTGCTGCAATCATTGTGTCAGTCCATCCATCTCTCTTCTGTTTGGCCTACCCTCAATCTTTCCAAGCATGATATCCTTTTCCAAGGAATAGCCTCTCCTTGTAACATGCCAAAAGTATGTGAAACAAAGCTTTGCCATCTTTGCCTCTAAAAAGCATTCTGGCTGCACTTTCTCCAAATGTTGTGAATACTGGCTTTTCTAGCTATTACATTAGCCACTGTTGTGGGGGGCATGGTCTCCAGCTGTCTTTACAATGGACAAATGGTCCTGTCAATCCTCAAAAGCTGAGGAGGGGCCAATATAAAAGAGAGCTTCTACTTTGTGAGGTACCCTGGTAATGGTAATAGAGGGTAGAGACTGTGGCACTTCTGTGAAGAGGTTGTGGCAAGGCGTAACCAGAGGAACCCTGCATTTATGCTACGGTTTAAGGTTTTGTTTGCCAGATGATTGGAGGGAAAGCTGATTTATAACTACTATGAGATAAAGTTTTCTGATGATTGAGGAAACCAGAAGCTTCTTGCATTAGTGCTGCTGAACTGAACCTGGACTATCACTAATTGAGGAATTGTGTCTTCCGAATCTATCTTGAGATTGCTGGGCTAAATCTGGTCTTGAATTTTGAGATATATTTTGCCTTCCCCACTCTTCAACCTATTACCCTAATAAACCTAATAAACCCCGTAACTATGGGTAAAGTCTGTGTGTCAACAACGAACTAATAGACCCAGTGATTCCTTGAAATAGGTGCGGGAGCATGTAGAGTGGTATATCTGACCAAGCACAGCTATTTGTTTGAGACTAAGGATATTTTTTGGTAGGGACAGTTCTCGTGCTTGGCTCCTTTCATTTATATGTGTGTGTGTGTGTACATACTGTTGAATTGGATCCAACTAGTACAGAAAGAGATTCTCCAGTGGAGCATCTGGTGGATTCAAAACGTGTGCCTTTGGGATTGCAGCACACTTTCTTGTCAGTAAGCCACCATAGCTCCCCTGTTTATTCTTTTAGTAGTCCATGTGATATTAAATACTCTTAACACCACAAGTCAAAGGCATCGATTCTCCTTCTGCCATCCTTATTCACTGTCTAGTTTTCAGAGGCATACCAAATTATTGAAAAAACCATGGCCTAAATTGAGCACACCTTACTCTTCAGACTGATAATTCTGCCCCTCAGTAATTTTGAAAGATCCTGTAGAGCAGACTTACCCAGAGCAATATGTCTCCTCATCTGACTGCTGATAACAAGGGTGTCAATTGTGGATCCAAGTAAGATGAAATTATTGACAATTTCAATTTTTTCTCTATTTATCATGGTGTTGCCTATCAGTCCAATGGTGACAATTTTTGTTTTTCTGATGTTAAGATGTAATCTGTATTGAAGGCTTGCTGCAGAAGATCAAGGACTACAGCCTCCTATATGGACTGAAGCTCAACCTCAAGAAAACAAAGATTCTAACCACTGGGCCAATTGGCAGCATCAGTATAGATGGTGAAGAGATTGAGATAGTTAACAGTTTTCGTTTACTTGGCTCCACGGTCAACACTCTTGGTAACAGCAGCCAGGAAATCAAGAGACGAATTGCATTGGGAAAGTCGGCTGTGAGGGACTTCTCAAGAGTACTGAAGAGCAACGATGTCAGACTGGAGACTAAGGTGCGCCTGTTCCGAGCTATAGTCTTCGCAATTACGTGCTATGCATCAGAGAGTTGGACAGTGACTAGGGTTGATAGAAAGAGAATTGATGCCTTTGAGCTGTGGTGCTGGAGAAGAGTGTTGAATATACCATGGACTGCTAAGAGAACAAACAGGTTTGTCCCGGAGAGGGTGAAGCCAGAATGTTCCCTAGAGTCAAGGATTCTGAAGCTTCATCTGACATATTTTGGGCATGTTGCAAGGAGGGACTGGTCCCTGGAGAGGGACATCATGTTTGGCAGAGTGGAGGGGCGGCGAAGGAGAGGAAGACCTTTGATGAGATGGATCGATTCTGTGACTACAGAGGTGGGAATAAGTGCATTTGAGTAGGATAGAAGAGTGTATAGAGCTCTTGTACATAGGGTCGCTATGAGTCGCAAGCTACTTGATGGCACATAACAACAACAACATAGTCTTTGATCTACTGCAGCAAGTGCTTCACGTCCTTTTTACTTTCAGCAAGTAAACATGTCATCTGCATAATGCAAGTTGTTCATAATTCTTCCTCCAATCCTTATACCACATTTTTCTTCATAGAGACTAGTTTTTTGGATACAGGTTGCATACAGATTGAATAGGTACAGAGAAAGGATACAACTCTGACACATAACTTTTTTAATTTTTAACCATACATTGTTCCTTTGCTATGTTTGGATAATAAGCTTCTTGTTCTAGGTATAGGTTTCAGATGAGCACAATGAAGTGTTCTGGGATTCCCATTATTCTCTGCATTATGCCCCCATCTGTAATTTGTATGATCCACACAGTCAAATCCTAGACCAGTTTGCTTTTAGACCTTAGTTTACTTTTATTCCTCTCCTCATAAATCTAATAAGTTTCTCCTTGTCATGCAGACAACTTTACAAGTAGAAATTTAAATAGGCTATGTTCGTCATTCTTTTGTGGTTTTAATATGCAGACACATGCGTGGTATGAGTTAAATGTTAGAGCTATATCATAATAGGTCTTGTCAGTATTAAAGGGGCCATGAGAAAGGGAAATTGTATAAACTTGGAGACCAGTTAACAAAGGGGTATTATGTATAAGTCCAGGAGAACATTGGTGGTGACCTGAGTCGGGGCAGGGAAAATAGAGAGGAAGGGACAGTACATAGAGATCAACTCGATGCAGGATTTTGAGGAACCAAGAGTGACGCACAAGTTTCTGACCAGTAGGATAGAATAAATCCACCATTCTATACCACCAGCCCAAATAAAAGAACCGAGGGGAGAAAGTTGTGTTGAGTGCAGATGGGGAGAGGTGGCAGTTTTATTAATATTGCAGGCCATGAAGTATAAAAAAATAGAGAAAGCTAGTGTAGAAGCCTGTATACAAGGGAAAGTGGGTGGATTGGGGGCGGGGGGATGGAGAGAATGTGGGGATGGAGGGATGGAGCCACCATAGTGAGACAGATTGAACCTTGAATATACATGGGGAAAAGGTTAACTGGTGGACCAGCATACCAGAGGACACACGTGGGAATGACTGAGGACCTAGTAGATATTTTCCTCAGAGTCTGAGAGAGAGAG